TTTTAATTTGAATACCCGCACAGTGGGTAAAAATTAATTTTTAATTAAATTTTTGTCAAAAATTTTAATTTCCATTACATTTAGTAAGACATGCTTATACAATGCTTAAAAAAAATAAAATTTACTTCAGCTATATATTTGTGATCCTTTGTAAAAACGCTGAAAATAAATGTTGTGACATTTTTGTAAAAACTACAAAATTGAAGCTTATAATATTTCTTTCTTCATTTATTTTAGTTTTCAATTTCGTCTGGTATCTCTTCCTCTAAATCTATTTCAAAGGTATCAATTCCATCATCGGCACCATATTCTTCATCTGTATCATCTTCGCACAAATTTTTTGGGCTACCTCCTTTGTGGCCAACACTTAAGGATATGATTGGCGAATCCAAAAAATCTGCCATATTGTCAACCCGGCTACATTTTCTGGTATGATATTTTCCGTCAGCCTTGAAATGTTAATGTCTTGCTTCTGATGCACTTTCTTCCAGGAATATAATAGCCAACAGGAACAATTGATTTTTTAATGATTACACTACTCAACAATATTGAACTTTTTTTTTGCGCTGTGTACCAAAATGACTTTTTCTGATAGATTTCGAAATGTAAAAATATTTTTAGTACTTTATTTATGTTTATTTTTTTTTCAACCTTTCCCGAGTTTTTAAAGTCAAAATTTCGGGAAAAAATACCGCAAACAAATTATGAAATTTGAATTGGAAAACTTAATATCTTCCAGACGTTAAGCTGCAGATATAAAGCGCCTGGGTCGGACTTATAGCTGCATTTGTCAGCTTTTCAGAACTGCAAAGTTCTATGCAACCAGATATAAGATACTTCAGTTATGTGAAAAATAGGAGCACTTTTTCAAAAAACGAGAAGGAACGTGCGAGTCGCTTCTGGGAACGCGACTCTACTTATACCCGTACTCAGTCAGTCAATATATTTTTCATTTTGATTGAATTTTTTCGGCAATCTGGTAGATATGTTAATTGTCTACGATACTGCGTTTTTAGTTTTAGCGTATCTTTAAAATTGTGGCTGTTGAGCTACTCAGCTTTTTCAATGGCGTAGTTTTGCGATATTTTTATTAACGAGACGATGGTTGTTCAGATTAAATATGGTTTATTGTTGTAAACAGTATAGAAGGCGATACAGAGTCAAAGGGATAGCGAAAGGTTCGAGTTCGGTTGACGACGAGTCGGTTGGAGAGTTAGCTGGATTCAAGACGGGGTCCGATTGTAGACGCGGGGGTCGGTACAAGACGGTGTCGGATTGAATAGCTCGATTCCAAGACGATGTGCAGTGGTTGCTAGATCCAGACTGAATCAAAGGGCAGGCGGCCGAATTGCCTGTGCCTTAATGAGAGCGAGAGAGCGACAGATCGAGAGAGTATTAGCAAAGCAAAGGAAAGAAAGAAAGGCGCGAGATGAAGAGGCGAAAGAGAACGGATGCATAGGCTGCTGCCGTGCGGGAGCATTAATGCGTGCATGAGTTTGTAGGTAGATGACAATTTAGTACAGTGGGCAGTGCAAACAACGAACAATAATAAGGATTTACTCTACTGCTGCACCACTGCTATAATCTATGCATTTGTCCACTATTTGGCTGCGTAACCAAACACCATCCAAGAAAAATAAAGTAATACCAAAATTTTTAAATTTTGAAATCTATTTTTTCATGTTTTAGGTTTGGTTAACGAATTTTAGCTTAAAAAATAAATTACGACCTTATACTCCAAATCCAATACGGTGCAAGAACTGAAAAATCTTTTGACAGAACATTAAACACTGCACCAAACAGCTCATATGCTCCAACTGCAACTTGCCCACACACGAAAGCAATTGTACAATGTACATGTCTTCAGTAGATCAACTGCGAAGGAGTTGCTTCTGCCTCCAGCAAAAAATGCTCAAAGTTTATCAAGCAAAAAAAAATTCTAAAGACTCAGTGTCAGACCAAATGCACCTATAAGAAAGCCAAGCTGACCTACAATTCATTAAATCATTATCCCAATTAAACTACTGCCCGCTCATATGCTGACGTAGCAAGCAACGCAAGCCAAATAACAAACCCAAAATTAACTTCAACTGAAATGAACAAAAGAAAACCTATCAGTGAAAAGAACAACAACACTACTAATTATCAAAAAATCGAACTTTTATAAAACCAACCACAAAAGCAATCACAAATAAAACTTTTATAGAAAAGTACAAATTTGTTTTTGCAAACCAGGCCACATTCTCTGGCTATCATTTAAAAAAAACAGCATGCAATTTGGTGCACGCGTTACGGAGATAGCCGCTTACACACAGTTTTTTTCTACAAATTTATAATATAGATTTTCTAATAAATCAAAATTTTTGTTTAACAAATTTTTCTACATTTTTGTTTGATGGGTGTAGACGTTTAAGTCTACGTGGGATTTGACGGTGTTGTAGTCCTATGGCTGCTTCATTTGGGTGATTCGACAGCCGATCATTATATCGGCTGCTGTGATGGTTTAATTGATCCACGATTTTTGGGATGTGGAGATCTGTTTCAAGCATAGTGGTCCGTACAAACCAAAGGAGCACCTACCATCGCCCTAAGGGTCTTCGCTTGCATTACTCTTATTTTGTTAAGATGTGTTTTCGCTGCACATCCCCATACTTGAATGGCATATGTCCATATGGGAATAATCATTGCCTTGTTGAGCAAGACTTTGCTACGTAGGGGTGGTTTGCTTTTTTATACCCGTACTCAAAAAAGAGTTAAGGGGTATATTAGATTTGTGGTAAAAGTGGATGTGTGTAACGCAGAGAAGGAAACGTTTCCGACCCCATAAAGTTTATATATTCTTGATCAGCATCAATAGCCGAGTCGATATAGCCATGTCTGTCTGTCCGTCCGTCCGTCCGTCTTGTTGAGCGCCTGGATCTAGAGATTACACTAGTCAACACGATTTTTCCTCAAGGAACAAAACGAACTTTTTCTTAAAGATTTGGGGCTTAGAAATGGTTTGATGATAATTTTTTTTTTTCTATGGCAGACTTTTTTTTTGAAGAATTTTTGAAAACTGGTATTTTTTTTTAAAGCTTTTTTCAGAGGTAGCGCTTATTTTTTTCACATAGCTCTAGTATCTTACGTCTGGTTGTAAAGAACTTTGCTATTTTGAAAAGATAGCTTCAAAAATTGTAGTGTATTTCAAAATTTCGGCCCGCCCTTTTCCGACCCCACAAAGGACGAAAATCTGTGACAGGCACAATTTTAAAGATACGATAAAACTAAAAACGCAGTATAGTAGAGAATGCCCACATCTACCAGATTGCCGAATCTGAGAGAATGCACATATCTAGCAGATTGCCGAATCTGAATCAGATCGGATCATAATTATAGCCACAATGAAGAAATTTTCTCCTGCAAGAGATCCGCTACCTATCTCTTTCTCGCTCGCACACTCTGCCGCGTTCAGTGCGCGAACAACCCCTAGCGGAGGCGATGTAGAATATGAATGGTACATCTATAATCTACATGTTAGATGCAAAATATACATTGTAGATGTAGATAACAGATGTAGCCAAATTAATGTAAAATGTAAAATTTTTATTTTTAATTTTAAAATTAAAAAAAATTATAAGCTCAAAAATGTATATACTGACTGAGTACGGGTATAAGTAGAGTCGCGTCCCCAGAAACGACTCACATGTTCCTTCTCGTTTTGTTTAATAGCCAATGCAATTTTTTAGCTTATTTTGGCATTTAATGACACTAGTCAGCACGATTTTTTCCTCAAGGAACAAAACGAACTCTTTCTTAAAGATTTGGGGCTTAGAAATGGTTTGATGATATTTTTTTTTTCTATGGCAGAACTTTTTTGTTTTTAAAGAATTTTTAAAAACTTGGATTTTTTTTTAACCTTTTTTCAGAGGTAGCGATTGTTTTTTTCACATAACCCTAGTATCTTACGTCTGGTTGTAAAGAACTTTGCTATTTTGAAAAGATAATTAAAACACCTAGAAGTTGAGCCTAAACACTTTGTGATTTCAACTTACCGTCTGGGAAGTATAAAGCATTGAAATGCAAAAATGATGATTTTTGTGCGGTATTTTTTACGAAATTTTGACTTTAAAAACTCAGGAAAAACGGTTTCGGCAGCTAAAAATTATTTCATGCATACAACCATATATTTTGGAGTGTTACACGTACACACATATGTACATGCGGCCAAACGCCGTTGGTCCCAGAGCCGAAGACCTATGACCGTACGCTGAAACCTCAGCTACGCCACTTTCGATGTATGAACGGCAAATCTATATACTGTATGGTTAGTGGCAGTATTCAGATAAACACCAAAAAGGTTGGTATATATTAGAAAAGTATCCAAAGGTATTTGCTTGTATGGCTGGTATGTTTCTACACCCCTCGAAAATTATATCAATTTGATATTTTGCCAGCACACACGAAGCAAAAATTGCGATATGAGAACAAAAAACCAAATGAAATATTTAAATAATGAAGACAAATAGAATCTAATTAATGCAGCATTATATGAAAGACAATAATATCCATATATATTTTAAATTATTTTCATAAATATAAAACAAATATTGCTTTCAAAACATTTTGTCTTTACGGTGAACTATGTGTAAAAAGAACGCTTTTGGTGCATAAACTCTAGGTTTTAAGATATTGACTTGAAATTTTTTTTTCGTGTATAATATGAAGTTAAATAAAATTTTAGTTTTGTTTGTTTTTTAATTTGAATACCCGCACAGTGGGTAAAAATTAATTTTTAATTAAATATTTGTCAAAAATTTTAATTTCCATTACATTTAGTAAGACATGCTTATACAATGCTTAAAAAAAATAAAATTTACTTCAGCTATATATTTGTGATCCATTGTAAAAACGCTGAAAATAAATGTTGTGACATTTTTGTAAAAACTACAAAATTGAAGCTTATAATATTTCTTTCTTCATTTATTTTAGTTTTCAATTTCGTCTGGTATCTCTTCCTCTAAATCTATTTCAAAGGTATCAATTCCATCATCGGCACCATATTCTTCATCTGTATCATCTTCGCACAAATTTTTTGGGCTACCTCCTTTGTGGCCAACACTTAAGGATATGATTGGCGAATCCAAAACATCTGCCATATTGTCAACCCGGCTACATTTTCTGGTATGATAATGTAATGTCTTGCTTCTGATGCACTTTCTTACAGGAATATACTAGCCAACAGGAACAATTGATTTTTTAATGATTACACTACTCAACAATATTGAACTTGTTTTTTGCGCTGTGGACCAAAATGACTTTTTCTGATAGATTTCGAAATGTAAAAATATTTGTAGTACTTTATTTATGTTTATTTTTTTTCAACCTTTCCCAGTTTTTAAAGTCAAAATTTCGGGAAAAAATACCGCAAACAAATTATGAAATTTGAATTGGAAAACTTAATATCTTCCAGACGTTAAGCTGCAGATATAAAGCGCCTGGGTCGGACTTATAGCTGCATTTGTCAGCTTTTCAGAACTGCAAAGTTCTATGCAACCAGATATAAGATACTTCAGTTATGTGAAAAATAGGAGCACTTTTTCAAAAAACGAGAAGGAACGTGCGAGTCGCTTCTGGGAACGCGACTCTACTTACACCCGTACTCAGTCAGTCAATATATTTTTCATTTTGATTGAATTTTTTCGGCAATCTGGTAGATATGTTAATTGTCTACGATACTGCGTTTTTAGTTTTAGCGTATCTTTAAAATTGTGGCTGTTGAGCTACTCAGCTTTTTCAATGGCGTAGTTTTGCGATATTTTTATTAACGAGACGATGGTTGTTCAGATTAAATATGGTTTATTGTTGTAAACAGTATAGAAGGCGATACAGAGTCAAAGGGATAGCGAAAGGTTCGAGTTCGGTTGACGACGAGTCGGTTGGAGAGTTAGCTGGATTCAAGACGGGGTCCGATTGTAGACGCGGGGGTCGGTACAAGACGGTGTCGGATTGAATAGCTCGATTCCAAGACGATGTGCAGTGGTTGCTAGATCCAGACTGAATCAAAGGGCAGGCGGCCGAATTGCCTGTGCCTTAATGAGAGCGAGAGAGCGACAGATCGAGAGAGTATTAGCAAAGCAAAGGAAAGAAAGAAAGGCGCGAGATGAAGAGGCGAAAGAGAACGGATGCATAGGCTGCTGCCGTGCGGGAGCATTAATGCGTGCATGAGTTTGTAGGTAGATGACAATTTAGTACAGTGGGCAGTGCAAACAACGAACAATAATAAGGATTTACTCTACTGCTGCACCACTGCTATAATCTATGCATTTGTCCACTATTTGGCTGCGTAACCAAACACCATCCAAGAAAAATAAAGTAATACCAAAATTTTTAAATTTTGAAATCTATTTTTTCATGTTTTAGGTTTGGTTAACGAATTTTAGCTTAAAAAATAAAATACGACCTTATACTCCAAATCCAATACGGTGCAAGAACTGAAAAATCTTTTGACAGAACATTAAACACTGCACCAAACAGCTCATATGCTCCAACTTCAACTTGCCCACACACGAAAGCAATTGTACAATGTACATGTCTTCAGTAGATCAACTGCGAAGGAGTTGCTTCTGCCTCCAGCAAAAAATGCTCAAAGTTTATCAAGCAAAAAAAAATTCTAAAGACTCAGTGTCAGACCAAATGCACCTATAAGAAAGCCAAGCTGACCTACAATTCATTAAATCATTATCCCAATTAAACTACTGCCCGCTCATATGCTGACGTAGCAAGCAACGCAAGCCAAATAACAAACCCAAAATTAACTTCAACTGAAATTAACAAAAGAAAACCTATCAGTGAAAAGAACAACAACACTACTAATTATCAAAAAATCGAACTTTTATAAAACCAACCACAAAAGCAATCACAAATAAAATCGCTGACCCGTTACCCGCGGACAAAAACAGTATACAAGCAAAAAGACCGAAAACAACAAACGACAAACTCATTAAACTACTAATTCTCACTCTTCCTACACCGATTCATCCCCCCCATCACATCTTCGTGAAGGTAGCTTAAAATTAATTTTTGTCCCACAAATTATAATGTTCGATGCTGTGCGGAAAATGATTAAGCAATATCGTCATGTCACATACCGTGAGATTAAGGTATCCTTGGGCATTAGTATGACGCCCATGTATAAGATTTTCCATGATCACCTTGTGGTGATCAACCGTTAACCGTTAAATTAATTCGCGAAAAAGCGCTCGGGGTAGGCATGGGTACTAGTGATCGTGCTGCCCATGAATTCCATCCAATCGTGTAATAAAGATTAATAGTAATAATAGAAAAGAACAAATGTCAACGTTTAAGAGCACTGCAATTGCTCAGCGCCCGATACTGTCGACCCACTGCGACAAGCCCCACCTCTCCCAACCAATAAGTTCAAAAAATGCTAACGGAGCGTTAATTCAGACTGGGCTCGATCGCTATGTGCAAATCAAAAGAAAATTGAGCCCACAAAATGTGAAGAACAACAATGCAGCTAAAATAACTAAAATAACCGAGAACACTGTGCCACATAAGGCACTAGCAAACAATAGATTTGCGATACTAAGTGTCCCAAATGAAGATGAGATCGCCCAAACACCCAAGGCCAAAAAATTAAGACCGCCACCTATTTATGTTCGACAGGCAAACTGTGCTGAGCTGGTCAAAAAAATAACTGATACAATCGGCGCAAACACATTCTATGTCACGTCCATAAAAAGGGGTAACATAAATAAAACAAAAATACAAGTCAATGACGAACAAAACTATCGATCAGTTGCGAAATACCTCGAAAATTAAAAAAATGAATTACTGCACCTACCAACTTAAAAGTAGCAAAGGATTAAAAGTGGTTATCAAAAGAATCGAACCAATAGTCCCAATCAATGAGATAATAGATGGACTTAACGATAAGGGCTTCGAAGTCAAAATGGCTATGAACATAATAAATAGAAATAAAATTCCCCAGCCAATGTTCAAAGTAGAACTGACACCTGAAAGTATGCATATAAGTAAAAATGAAGTTCAGCCAATATACAAGCTTCAATATCTACTGCACCGTAGGATCACCGTTGAGGAACCACACAAACGAAATGGTTCGGTCCAATGCACAAATTGCCAGGAATATGGACACACGAAAACCTATTGCACTATACGGGCAGTCTGCGTTGCCTGTGGTGATGTTCATCTCACTGAGGCCTGCCCCGTAAATAAGGAGGATCCATCTGCCAAAAATGGTGCAACTGTGGGGGAAACCATACTGCCAACTATAGAGGTTGTCCTGTCTATAAAGAATTCAAAAATCGCCTAAAACAACAAATAACTGCAGCTCGAAACCCGGTCGTCCGATAAAACTTACCATATATACCATCAACTACGACTAAGTTACAACAACGGGTCGTACGCCTCAGTCTCTAAGCCGACACTTCAACCAACCACAGATGGAATAATGCAGAATCAGGCATCAAATCAGATCCCAGAAATCTCTGCCCAACATACCCCTGCTTATCCATCCCAATTGCCTAGTGGAATTGAGTCAATGCTGATAACTATAACAAACACAATGGTACCAATACAACAAACGATGCATGAGCTTATGCGCAACCAAAATCTCCTCCTGGAGCTCCTAACCAAACAGAAATCCGTTTAAATGTCCTGTCTAAATATATGTTTCTGGAATGCAAATGGCATTTCGCAGCACAAATGCGAGCTCTTACAGTTCCTCGCTCAACACGACATTGACGCCATGCTCATATCAGAGACTCACCTAACAAATAAAAACTATTTTCACCTCGATGGCTATAACTTCTATGCGACAAATCATCCCGATGGTAAGGCACATGGAGGTACTGGCGTTCTGATCAAGAATCGCATTAGGCATTATCCATTGCCTTCATTTGCTACACCTTATCTACAGGCAACAGCAATTCATATTGATTTTCAGAGCGGCTACCTAAACCTAGCCGCAGTATACTGCCCACCACGCTTCTGCATTTCCGAAACAGAATTTGTAACATTCTTCGACCTACTAGGTGACCGATTTATAGCAGCTGGTGACTACAATGCCAAGCACACCCATTGGGGATCTAGACTTACCAACCCGAAAGGAAGACAACTATATAACGCTATAATAACCCCACGAAACAAGCTAGACTTTATCTCTCCGGGCAAGCCCACATATTGGCCCACAGATCCAAACAAGCAACCCGACTTGATTGATTTTGCAGTTACACGAAGGGTGCTGCAAGCTCAGATTAATGTAGATCACTTAACAGATCTATCATCGGATCACGACCATCCACAGCTTTCGGAACGCCCACACTTTCTAACTTCTAGCAAAACAGATTGGCTCAAATACAGGAAGTACATAAGCTCTCATATTGATAGCTGCCCAAAAATTAATTGTAAAGATGACATTGATAGGTCAGTCAAAGCATTGGTTTCCTCAATGTCACTGGCGGCAAAACACTCAACACCAATATTAGCATCTAATAAACTTTCCAACAGCAGTCGTATTTCTAGGCACATCGAAGTGCTGCTACGCGATAAAAGAAGGCTTCGCCGAGAGTGGCAAGCACACAGATCACCTGCATCGAAAGAACGGCTAAAAATAGCCAACCACCTACTACGCAGAGCCCTAGAAGATGAAAAAAAACGGGCTCAAATATCCTATATGGAGCAACTCTCCCCAACTAGCAAACGATTCCCACTGTGGAAAGCAAAATCAGGCGTATGCCCACCAATCGAGAGTGAATCACCTTTGCGTACACAAACAGGAGAGTGGGCTCGCAGCAACAAAGAGAAGGCAAATACATTTGCCGTCCATCTAGAAAACGTCTTCAAACCGCACCCAGCAACGAATAGCTTTGTGCTCCCACCAACCAACAATCCCGAAGCTACTCCGCCTATCGTATTCCAATCAGGAGAAGTCACAAGGGTCATTAAAGACCAAATCTCAAAGCAAAAGAAAGCTCCGGGCCACAATTTCATCTCTCCTAAAATGATCATAGAATTGCCGAGCTGTGCAGTGTATTTCCTTACTGTGATATTCAACAGCATGATGAAATGGGGCTATTATCCTCAAGAATGGAGGAAATCAGTCATTACAATGAATGGATCATCAGACCTATCAGCCTACT